CCAAGTGTGAGTACTTATGAGATCATGGTGAGGATGTTTTGTAATGAAGGTAGGGTTGATATGGCGATAGGTGTGTGGGAGGAGATGAAGGGTGAAGGGGTTTTACCAGGTATGCATATGTTTTCTACTTTGATTGACAGTTTGTGTCGCGAGAAAAAGTTGCAGGATTGTTGTATGTATCTGGAAGAGATGATGGATATGGGGATAAGGCCTCCTGGACTAATGTTTAATAGATTGAAAAAAGCTCTTGTTGATGAAGGGAAGGAGGATGTTGTGATAATGTTGACTCGTAGGCTTGAGAAATTGAAAACACTTTTGGTGGTTAGTTGAGAAAGGTTAAAAAACTTGTACTTTGGTTTGTTTGATAATTTAGGGGACAATATCAAGTGTAAGATTTGAAGTTTTAGGTTATATATTGACATTTTACTTGCTTCCTAACCTTACTAATTATTTTTGTATCTTTCTTCTTAGTGGCTCCACATTAGTTTTTCCTCTTTCTTTCTCTTTCCTTCCCAAACTTCCCAAATCACATGGAAATTGTCATCTTTCCTTTCCCACACTCCACACCCAATTTTAATAAAATAGTTACAAAAAATAAAAAAAATATATAAAACATTAAATTTAAATAACATTATATTGATTTGCTTACCCGATCCAGATCCATTCAAAACATATTCACTTATTTGGATCCACCTAACAACATCATATACTTGTCCACTTTGAAAACAGATTCACAATTGGGTGAGAGATGCTCAAGAAATGGTCGCCGAATGGGAAGGGTACCACACCATATGGGGCGGCGATCTTGCCATTCATGTGGTTGACGCAACCTCCTTCACGTTGCTACTTCTTCCATATTGTCCACACTTATTATGGTTGACCTCTCTGACACCCTCATTGTTTTTGAGGCAAGAAATTGTTATAACTAGTGGAGGCCACATTTGGATATCAATTCTTATTCCAAAGGGAAGTGATTTGTACACAACATTTTTTTTTCTATGCATAACAATTTATGTTTTATAGGATTGTACAGTACAACATTTTAAAGCATAAATTGTAGTGTTTGAAGAAAAATTGTTGTATACGAATCAACTCCCTGTTCCAAAGAGTTGTCACATTCAACACGGCATGTGCTCTGCTCAATGATATTCAGTTATGTACCATAATGCCATTCCTTGCCTCAAAATTGGTTTAAGCCCTTAAATATATCTGTTAATGTTTGTGTTAAAATATAAAACAACAAACATGAAAATTGTGTACTTGAAAAATATATAATGAACCTACTACAAGCAACGAAAATTAGATCTGTCAATTCGTGTATTTGTGTCATTTTCATGTGTCAGCCACGAATTTGACATGACACGAATTCACGAATAGAAATAAGTTTTATCTCTCTTTTCAATATGTATTCGTGTCGTGTCACACACAAATTTGTGTCTCAAATTGCCAGGTCTAGCGAAAATTACCTTTAGGACTCCAGTCTCCTTAAACTATTCAAATTTCTACATAATGGGGGAGCACACATTTGAATTCAAATGTTGCCCCTTTGCCTTCATCTTGAAGTAGTCGTCGGTTACGAACAAGAATGATGGTTGGAAGTGCACCCAGGGCAGTATACAAGTTATTGAACAACTCCAAACAAAGTTTGTAACAAGAAACACAACAATTTGATTTATATAACAATAAAATATAAAGTGGTTCAATAATACAATATTTCTTCCAACCACCGATATGTCAAATGCAAAATAGTAAAAGTTTAGGGGAGAAGATTGAACACAAGTATATATAATGGTTGATACTACACAAAAAGCTTACTCCACTTTGGCAGAGATACCGTGTCTGGCTCAGTCACCGATGATTGATTCACTAAAATCAAATGAGACTTTTAAGGTAATATCAAAAACCATTGTACAAGATTTTCACTATCTAGTTTCTTAGGCAGTGTTTGTTTTTGAAGAGACAAAATGTCTTCGGTCTTTTTACATATCCGCGGAATAAAATATGGACCTAAAGTTTTTTTTTCATGTCTTCAGTCTTCATAAAAAATGTTATTTTTTAAAGTCTTCATAAAGAAGATCGGTGGTGTTGCTGGCGATGAAGGTGGTGGATGAGGTAGGGGCAAAAGTGGTAGGGGCAGAGGTTATGGTGGCAGAGGTGGTGGTGGTGGTGGTGGCGGCGACGGTGGTGGCAACACCGGAAGGGCGACGACGACGATGGTTGTGGAAAAAGAAATATCATGTAGGGTTGGAACTTAAAAAACGTCTACTAAAATCAAAAAATATTTTTCTCTTTTGGAAAAAGAGGTCAAAAAGATTTTTTTTTATGTCTTTTGTCTTTTGAAAAATAACCACTCTTTTCCTCAAATGTCTTTTCACCCACAAACATAAGAGGTCAAAAAACTTTTAGCCAAAAAACAAACACTGAATGTCTGTTAACGTATCTCATTAGGAATACGTCAAAGATAACGAGACCGTTACCCAAGGGCGACCTAGTCAACGGTCACTGCTTGACAAATGCTAAGCCCGGGTCTTCGTCTCCGTGATCTCGCACTTATGTCTCGACGCTCTAGCACCAAGGTAAGGCCTGAGACGAGAAGCTCCGGTCTACAGCAAGACAAAATAATACCAGATGCCTCAGAGCGACAAGTGTGGTGCTCAGAACGCTTTCCTATAGTAGTTCTGCACCAATAGTGAGCAACCATTAGTGAAGCACGATCCGCCAATAGGACGCCTCCACATCCTGTCAGCTCAAAAAGGACAAAAAGGTATTGTTGGGGGTCTGTCCCCACAACAACATGTATAAAAAGAACCCTTCTCCTCCAAGAGAAGGGATCACCTCTTTATCCATCTTAAGCTAAACCTTAATTCTCTCATCTAGATACTGACTAGTTCGTCGGAGTTTTGTTCCGGGATCCCCTCCCGGACGAAGGCTGACGTCTATTCTTTCTTTGTTGTGATTCCCAGGCTTAACCTAAACAAGACATCCAATGATGGGGTTAAGTCTCGATGACATATCACAACAGTCTCTTTGTAAGAAGAGATGGATTACTCACTTAAATGCTTTCAAACACTTACACAACATAATGATCTTGACTAAAGTCACACCATCAAAAAATAATGTAACACCCATTTTCCAGGATGAATCGAATTAGGGTTTCAAGGAGTCAAAAGGCAGGATTTTGGAAGAAAAGAAGCCTCAGGACGTGAGACATAGGGGATCATGACGTGAGATGAGTTATATGAAAACTTTTGTTCGGGACTAGTCTCACGTCGTGAGACTTAGAGGTCCACAACGTGAAAGCTGTTGCAGCCCCATCCCATGATCTTTTAGGTTTTCCTTCGTATTTAAGCATCTCTAAACCCATTTTAGGGTTTCTTATCAGCCTCAAACCCTCTTTCACCTCAGAAAAATCCTAGTCTTCATCCTTGCTTGATCTTGGGTCATTTTGGAGCTTTTCTTGGTTTGGAAGAAGGAGAAAGGAAGAAGAAGAATATGTAACGTCCGAGTTTCGGGGCTAATCATTTTTAGATGATGTAATAGTCTAGGTCAACTATTGTAACTCTTTTGGAAGTAATAAAGATGAAATATTTGAGTATTATGTGAATTATGTGAATTTATGTGCTTATTATATATTTATAAACTTATAATAAATAAAGAATAAAAATAAGTGTCAAAATTAAAGTGTGAGATAAGCCCGATATCTTTATATAAAGTTTTAGTGGTCGAAACAAGGATTCTGAGGATATAAAGAACGCCGAAATCCGAGTTATAACGAAGAAGTTATGACCTGTTGAAGTTTCGCGACGGAACCGACACAATACCGGGAAGCGTAAATAGTAAATTTACGATAGAGCGAGTTTTAACCTTAGCGACCTAAACGAAAGTCGTAGAATACGTTAAACCGAGAGCGTCCATAAAAAGAATGCCCAAATCTGACTTCGTATGAGGAAGTTATGATTTTTCGAAGTTTCGGCTTAGCGGTGTACAGCCCGAAGTTCGAATAATAGATTGAGCGGTTTTTAGCCGACACAACCTAAACGAGAATCTAATATCTCATTAATGGTAGCGTAACGATAAAAAGATGGACGAAAACGGACGTCGGATGAAGAAGTTATGAGATTTTAACGGACCAATCCTGTCCCGGCCTGTTAATAATATAACTTTTTAAATAAATTCAAAATTAGCCGACGGAGTCTAAACGAAAGTTGTAGAGTACGTTCCCGCCTACGCGTGGATATAATGAACGTCGAAAACGGAGCTCGTACGCGAAAGTTATGAATTTTTAAAGTTTACACTTGAATTTGCGAGACCTGATACGAGATAGGTGACGTGGCTCGATCTGAGCCGTCCGATGAAGACCAGCCTCGCATCCGATGAACGCCACGTCGCTTCGCCCTACGCCCCGCGTCCGAAGTAGGAACGCCCAGCGTTCCTTCGGTCTTATCCCTTCCGAGTGCGAGCCAGCTGTATGCGAGCTGGCAACATGATCCGAAGCTACGCGTCGCGTAGCTGCTGAACGCCCAACGTTCCGAGAGGCTTCGCCTCCTATAAATAGCATGCGAGATGTTCCGGATTTTTCACACATTTCCACTTCTCTCTCTAAAATACTTTCTCTCTCTAAGGGTTTTAACCCTCCCTAAAGTCTAGGTGAACCCCTAGCACCCGAAGGAAGCCCCGAGGCTCCCGGAGTCCCGAGAAAAAAGGTCTTTCGGTTTCGAAACGTTGCTCCAAGCAAAGCCCGATTTTCTTTAAAACCCGTTGTAAGTGAGCTACGCCTACGCAACTTTTAATATAGCTTTTAAATAATTATAGTAATGTCATTAGGACCTTAGAATAATTATTTGGGCTATTATTATGGGTTATATAATGTCGTTATAATATCTTTTTAACCACTCGCGGTACGGGGGTTCCGGTTTGGAGGGCCGCTTGGGTTGCTGGATTTCATAAGTGCTTTAATGTCAAAATGATCCTGCCCTCCGGTGTTCCATGTCTGGCTTCGTCTGTATATAGTGGGTGAAAAGTATTGTGTCGCGCCGCTTATATAATAGTAATAATAGCTAGACTATTAATTAGTCGCGGTTAACGTTAGACTAAACCCTAGTGATGTTGATACTAGGTTTTGTCAAGGGAAAAATTGTTTTGAGTTAACGGAGTGCTGTTCAAATACCGAGTCACCACCTTTCAGGTGAGTGCATAGTTACTTTCATCTTACACATAGATATGAAGTATTTTATATAAATTACGTGCTATGTGTGCATATTATCTGAATACTTGTTGTCTATGCTGGATGAATGTTTTTATACAAGTTTTAAATGATTTAAACTATATAT